TAAGAGTGCCCTACACCTTTATGAAATAAAAAAATATTGCTAAATGCAATGCCAAGAAATGGAGTAAACTGCATTAGTAAAAACTTAAGATTCATAGGCTGATCTTGCCCTGTGTGTACCTTCTAACATATTGTATTTAACAGGTGCTAATTCCACTGAAATTTACCTGTTTCAGAAGAGTAACACAGAAGGAAGATACTTTTAACCGACAGGTATAAATGAATTGTTTAGCTGAAGTTTTGAAATACTTCAAACTCAAATGGAGTACTGTCATAGAAAAATTACTAGATGACCAAAGCCTTACAATTCCTGCAACAGTTTTACGAAAGGTGTACTTTACTGAGCAGGTGTACTTTACATCACCAGCTTTCACCTCTTTCTTTCCTGTTAAAAATGAGTGATATGCTGTAAATGACCTCAGATTCACACCCTTGAACTCTTATTACATAGTAAAATACGGGATTCTGCATTTCTGTACTAACTGTCCAACAACATCAGCTCACAGCATATGAAAAGTTGTGCAACTGCAGAAACCGAGCTGTTAAAGGTGACAGCAAATGCAGAAACAAAGCCTAAAAGACTATACATGTATAAGAATGCCACAGCATTCATGACTAAAGAAGCAGTACATTACATAATAACAAAATGTGCCATAGATATCCACTGGCATGGCTAACACACTAATGGGAAAATTATATTTAATTATCTGAAGGGTTAGAAAATATAGCCATTGAAGGGAAACTAAACAGATACACTCAGCGCTTGTGTAGCAACTAGAAAGTCCTCGGTTGGAGGAACACAGTGGCCAAATATTTCAATTTCATGTGGCCAGAGAAAGACGAAATTAAAAATCTGAGCCAAGCAATGCTCTGGGACACCTTCTAGGTCTTAACACTTTCTGTATTTTGTTCATGAATGGTAAGCCCTTAGTGTCATACTGGCAAAAAATGGTGATGAATCTTCAAATATTCCGATTGCAAGCCAAATTCTCTAACACAGAAGACTATTGCCTCTCCTTTCCTTAGGCTTTGAAAAAGTATATACAATCAAACTGTTGACTGGTAACCTTTTTACATTTGGATTAAGATCTAGGCACCTGGTGAAGCATATTCTGAACAATCTCCTCTCACACAGCTCCTACTAAAGGAAATTCTCCATGTTATTACTTTACATCTGTCTTACACTGAGGCAGCATCTTAAAGGGAAGTAATTTTATGGTAATTAAGTGGCTAAGTCACCTGATAATGCGCATGGAAAGCAAGTAACCTCTATATACCTCATGTGCTCTTGGATCTGCTACAGAGAAGTCTAAAAGTTGATTTTAAAACAATATGAACATCCAAACCTTGGAGCATCCAGTGGTCAGTAGAGAATAGAATGTTCTTGTTAAGCCTCTGAGAAGTTCAAATCAACTCCCATAATGCAGGGAATTTTCTTTCTTAGACACTACCCCATCCCTTCTAGTAAACATACACTGGCTGTATTCTTCCAAAGTACAAGCAGTGGGCATGAAAACATCAAAAATTAAGGTAACAATGACAAAGAATGACAAAATAGGTCAAAAGATGGCAGGAAGTGAAAGTAGTATGATATACAGGACATACTAGAAACCTGAAACATAACTTAGAAACATTAAAATATCAGGAAGAAGACTGTGTAGTAAGAGAATAATTTAAGCTATGAAAGACCTCAAACATCGAGTCCAACACTTATCACCACCTTGTCACTTAGATCACAGCACTAAGTCCAACATCCAGTTACTTCTTGAACCAGTCTAAGGATGGTGACTCCACTATTTCTGTGAGCAGTCTGTTTCAATGCCTAACAACTCTTTCCAAGAAGAAATTGTTCTTGATGCTCAGAAAAATGAACCTCAGCTGGTGCAACTTGAGGCTCTGTCCTCTTGTTCTATCTCTCGTTACCTGGAAAAGTGTCTGACCCCCAGCTGGCTACCCCCTTCTTTCAAGGCAGTTGTATAGAGTGTTAACTTTACACCTGAGCCCTCTTTACTCCAGGCTAAAGACCCCCAGCTCCTTCAGCTGCTCCTCAACAGGACGTGTGCTCCAGACCCTTCCTCAGTTCTGTTCCCATTCTCTGGACATGCTCCAGCCCCTCAGTATCTGCTCTGCAGTAAGGGGACCACAACTGGGCACGGAATTTGAGGGTGGCCTCAGCAGGGCTGAATGGAGCAGGACAAACCCTTCCACATTTTCTGATATAAGAAATATCTGATGTGGTCCTGCTAACCACACTATTTCTGATTCGAGCCAGGATCCCGCTGGCCTTCTCAGCCACAAGCTGTCCCATGTTCAGCTGCTGTCAACCAGCACCCTGAGGTCATCTTCTGCTGGGCAGCTTTCCAGCTACTCTGCCCCTGCCTGTATCACTGCCTTGGCCTGCTGTGACCCAAGGGCAGGACTCAGCACTTAGCCTTGTTGAAGACTGATGGCAGAAAAAGGCAATATAGGCAGCAGACTGAAAATACTACTACTACTACTACAACTACTATTACTACTACTACTGTAAAAACAAAGTGGAAAACTACTGAGAAGATGAGACTTGTGCAAGGGATGAACGAAGAACACATGTGACATTGACACATAGGCTTGCCAGACATTTGCACATATGCTTACAAGAGAGCTGGTGGACAACAAACAATTTGATTCATACATCAAGTCAGCAGACAATGAGCATCAAGGGCTTGTTTCTGCCTTACTACTTTGTAAATCCCAGTAGTAACTTGTAAGCAATTTGTTTCCTTGCTTTGTGATAGGGATACAATGCTAATAAATTTGTTTGGGTGTTTTACTGATAAACACACACGCTCCATTTTTGAAAGAATGTTTATTTTGTGTCTTTTTTTTTTTTTTTTTTTGTGTACTTACATACCTGGAAAAAACTCTTACTTGCAAGCATAAGTATACATAGAGGCTTTTCTAAAGACTCATATAAAGTAATTAACAAGTCTAATTTAAAAGATTTTGCAGAAATCCATAGTATGAACTATAATAATGTCTCCAAATCTGCAAAAACTCATGGCAAACTGCAAAAAGTGCTGAGCTTGAGCAATAACCAATCAACTAGCACATGTACCGTTTGCAAGACAATGTACTAGGAAATTTTTTTTTATAGCTACTTAATGATTATTCCCTATTATTTTTAATGCTACTCAAAAGATCCACTATGGTGACAATTTAATTAAAAGTAGGTCAAAACTATGGTATTCAGCACAATCTGATCTGAAGCACCATCAGATCATTATTTCCTACTTAGGAGAGTAATTCTATTTTTAGCCTCTAAGGTAGAGCACACAAAATACATACATTTATTTCAACTTTAAAACCAGTATCTCATCTGTTGTGGAAACAAAGTTAGGACCTACAAATATAAGAAATTCAAAATATGAGAAGAACTCTGCTTCATCTTCTACTTAACTTTGCCAGTCATTTCAGTACAGAAACAATGTGAAAATATATTTTTAGTAACGTGTGTCTAATATTTTCTTTTCACTGTTTATGCAAATTTTTCTTTTTATGTAATATTATATTTGTTTCCTTGCCACCTAAAACCAAAACACAGGATGGTATGTTTGGGAACAGTGAGAATCTAAACAATACAAGAGAGATGCCATTGTGCTTTGTATCCTCTACACGAAAATACATGTGCAAAAATGATGGGTTGGGAAGGTAACCAGGACAGAGAACTGCACAGGACAACAGAAACCCTATGCATAGGGCAAAGGGAAGTCATGGCTTGGTGATAATATTGTCATGAATCTGAGGAGACTTATGCATCCATAGGTCTTCAACTGCCTAAATTCTACCAGCAAAATCCTAGTGAGTTTGTCTTCACTAAGTTCCTCATAAAGTGCTGTACTAGATAAGGATGCTCAGATTACTGTGCAGATAAATGTCATTCTACACCTGTCATGTCTAATGTCCTGCTACAATGAGCTTAGTGGAAGTTGCATGGTGCACTTTCTTAAGTAAGATCCTTCCATTCTGGTCCACATGCCAAATGGAGACTGGAATTAAATCCCTGGAATCTTTTTTTTTCATAGCTAAGACAAAAATAAATGTAGAGCCCATTGATGCTTTTGCCATGGCTTTTATAGCAGACTATGCTGTGTTTCATAGCACTGGTCAACATCAAAAGGCCATCATCTGTTTCTTTAACAGCAGATGAGAAATTTCACCTGAGCTGTATCTTACATCACTAAACAGTAACTAAGATTCATGGAATAAACCTTCAGGCAGACATCAGATTCCAATGACAAATTTCACACTGATTTTTAATCAGATTCCAGTTCCAAGAAATTAAAGGCATAACATTTCAGACATTTTTTAGTCACATAGGCATTTTTATTATTGTTGATCTAGAACAAAAAATTTAACATTAAGTGCTTTCCTGATGTCTTTCTGGCAGCCATGTTCTTTGAAGTTTAGACTTTGTTTCCATAATAGAAAGGCAGTTCACTATAAAACAAATCCCTTTGTTTAGTACTGTTTACCTCACCACTAAGACTATAAATGTCAGGGAGGGAAAACGGAAAATCTGAAAAATAGGAGTTCTTGGACATTTCAATTCTTATAAATTGTATGGAAGTCAACTTTGATTGCACTTCCCAGTACTCAGTAGTCACACTACATGAAATTATTTTTGCCCATCTTGCATTTGTGATTGTATGTTGGAAGAGAGTAGGTTGAATACGTTTAACAAAACCCCCCCCCCCCGAAATTAATCATTCCTAATTAGAATGTTAATTTAAGAGTTTGGAATGATCACAGACTGTCATTTCGTGAAGCAAGCGCAGATATAATCCTAAAATAGATGTATGCCACTCCTTAAGTGAATTTAGTACGTGTATATTCAGCTATGTTTGTGCTGCATATGCATAGAAGCATGTACACTGACATACAGTACAATAAGGTAAAAAGTAAAAATTACTTTGTTAGAAACAGAAAGTTATATATAGTTGTTCATCACTACGATGTACTTACTATTTAGTTGAATCTGATAACTGATATTCCCGTCGTCTATCGTAACACTCCTGAATTCCAGGGTCATTCCATAAGCTTCTTATTGCATCTACATACGGGTTCTCAAAACTTGACACCTTCTCTACATCAACTTCTCGAACTAATAGTGCATGAACCTAATTCAAAACAAACAAAACAGTAAAATTTACCTCATTTTCTATGTTGGCAGACAGCTCATATACAATGAACAAGATCAATAATTCTTCACATTAGTCATATCACCAACATGTATGTTCAATTTGAAAAAAAAAAGTATCATGAAGATGCAAATGAAAAAAGATGTGAAGATGCAAAAAGGAAGTAACCTTTAAACTAATATGACAGAGTGAAGTTGCTTTCAGGAAAATTGTACCTTTTTAGACTTCTTTCTTTTGGGACACCAGTAATTGTTACTAAAACATTGTAACAAAGAAAAAATAAAAATGACAGACTAAACTGAAGGATTCTGTAACTACCCCCAAATTCAAACTGGGCATTAAGATCTGCTAGTTCAACTCAATTGTTCCACAACCAAAATCTAGATGGTGTAGGTGACTGTTCAGTTCAATACACTTTTGACAACAGCAGACAACATTTTCCATGGCCTTCTGGGAATATAACAATTTCCCCTTTATTTACCAGAAATCTTGTAAATACTTATTCAATTCTTTTTGGAAAGCCATGTCTCATACATTTAGGATCTTCTTTATGGGTTTCTACAAGAATTTAAAACAAGATTCCAGAATAAGAAAACTGGAATTTTTGAGAATGTTAATCATGACATCTCCACTTGAGGAGATACTGAAATAGCAACCATGTCTTCTCCTTCTTTATTCCTCTCAGAAAACTATGGGTAGGGTTAAAAACTGATCTTGAGCTTCAACCAGTTTTATGCTGGTTTTCCAGACAATTCTTTTTGCCACAATCCATTATATACTTACAAATGTGTTTTTTTCATCTAGGCTTCATGATCTCAGTCTTCTACTTATTATCTTTGTTCTCTCTAATTTTTATAGTAACGGGAAAATGATGTAATTACCAAGTTACTAGAAGACACCTGATCCTACAGAACCTACTTCAAAAGAGCCGAGAAAGTTCTAGCAATTCAGCACTATTACTAAGAAAAAGCTTCATACTTTCTCTTTTATTTGGTTTGAAGGACTTGGTTTGGAGGTGGCTAGATTTGCACAAGACCAGTCGACATTTCACAGCTGTGAGTTGACATTTCACTACATTTCAGTACTTGCTTTCTTTGGCTATTCATGTGCATTTAAATTAAACTAGGTTTTACCAAAATGCTCAATATTTTTTTTCTGAACTTCCACAATGGTTATGACAACAATAGCAGTTAGCTGAGTAAACTGAGTAAATAAAAACGTTTAATGACAAAAATGTATTTCACTTTTATAGGTATAGGAGGAACTAAATCAGTCATCTTTGTTTGGGCTTTTTTTTGGAAATCAGTGTAAGTCTTCTGAATGAAACGTTAGCCAAACCTCTGAGGCAAAACTTCATCAACCAAAAAGCTTCTGTCTTCTGTAGCCTTTGTATGAAGTAAAAATGCCCAGAGATCCACCCAAATCATTATAAGTCAGAAGACTGGTCTGTCATCTCTCCTGGACAATTCATGATCCCATTGAAAATGAAACCAAAAAGCAGAGCACAGTTTCCAAATGCCCGATTTGTAATAAACATGCCATGAAAGCCTCTTCATAAACATGCTACAGGAAAAGCCACAAGACCTTTCTTCTCTTCACTTTGCTATTTTATTTGTATGTTCGTCTCCTCTGAAAAGCAGGTACCACCTAAGGACCAGAGCAGATAACCATCCCAGAAAGACGATGCTGCTGCAAGTTATTGTAGTCCTGTGACTGAACTGAATTATGAACCAGAAACTGCTATCAAGCCTGAAATTTCTCTAATAAAAACTCTGCAACAGGATTTCAGACGTAGCTGACAGACAGATAAACAAAACCACCAATCGAACAGGAGAAATTAAGAAATACATAATCTGCTTGCTGCCAAATGTCTGTCAATGGTGGTTTTCTTGTGGGACTCCCCCAAACCTGAATTAGTTTTAATGAACTGACGGACTATAAAAGCAAAGAGCAGTAAAGAACTACTTAAATGTTTCCTTATATATTTTATTTTCATTGCTAAAAACCATTCACTGCATAACTTTGTTTGAGATCAGGTCACCAGACAAAGTAGGTAAAAGAGAACATTATTGACACAGCTGGAATGGAAAACGTAATAAAATAAATACAATAATATCACTTTCCTTAAGCAATGTCTTTGTATTCTGGATCATGCTATATGATACAAAAAATATGAATGAAAGCTAAAGTTTCAATTTCACATATGAAGCAAGTTCAAATTTTCATATTTAGTGAGTTCATTTCCAAGAATAATATGTGCAAAATTATAACATCCAAAAAATTTATGGAAAATCTCAGAAAAGTGATTTGAAGTAGCTTCTGATCCAAAATGTTTCTAATTTAACAGATAACTAAACACTTCCCTGCCTATTCTACCATGCGATTTTCTTGTAGTTATATTAAAATGTTGATGTGACTTTAGGTCTTCATGAATACAAGACCTTTAGGTTCCTGTCTTAAAACCATGCCGTAATTTTCATTAAGAATCACAGAATATCCTGAATTGGAAGGGATCCATGAGGATGATCAAGTCCAACTTCCAGCCTTGTGCAGGACACTCCAACAGTCACACCATGTGACTGAGAGCACTGTCCAAACACTTCTTGAACTCCGTCAGGCTGGTGCTGTGACCCTGGGGAGCTGTTCAGCACCCAGCCACCCTCTGGGTGAAGAACCTTTTCCTGATACCCAGTGTAAAATTCCTGTTGGTGAGTTTCATGATGTTCCCTCAGGTCCTGTCACTAGTCACCAGAGAAGTGTCTGCCCCTCCTGCTCTCCTCACAATGAATTTATAACTGCACTGAGGTCTGTCCTCAGTCTCCTCCAGGCTGAACAGACCTAGCGACTGCAGCCACTCCTCACACAGCTTCCTCTCAAGGCCCTTCACCATCCTCATTGGCCCTCCTTTGGAAACTCTCTAATAGTTTAATACTCTTCTTGTATTCTGGCATCCAAAACCGCACACAGGCCTCGAGGTAAGGCTGTCACAGTTCACAGCAGAGCAGGACAATCACCATATTCTAAAATGCCAGCTACAGAATGACAATGCCACAGCAACTCTGGACGAACCAAACACTTTCTGGGAGGCTGAATGTAAATGCAACTACAGATGTCTATTGTAACACTTAAAGACTGAGAATGCTGCAGCTGTCAGTCAGTCTGTATGTGCTAGATAGTAATTTACATATAAGGCTGTGAAATCCTCACAAAACCTCTAGAGCAGCATCTTCCTCACTATGGCTCCACTTGCAACACAAACAACTATGAGGGCACAAAGGGAGAAATAAGGGTGTATAATAGCTTCTTTGTTTCTTCATAGTGAAAGGGTTAAATCTCAGTTGGGTGAACTGAAATCCATCAGAATTTCAAAATAACATACACAGAGCCTGTGTAAACTAACCTGTGATGTGGACTCTATGATCACTTTATGGTGTGCCATTACAGGGCTACTCAAACGTTTAAATACTACGCAAACATGCAAATGAAAAGTCTATACAACTTGCACTCTAAATATTACACAAGTCTCATGACTTCCCATAATTAAATCGTATTTTAATGACCCTATGACCAAATCGGCTATTTGCAAAACATCTCCAAGAATTAAGGTATGGAATAAGCAGATGTAAACTGTGCAGGTAAACTCTTCAAAGGCAAGAAATTGTATGCCATTTCTGAGGAACTTGTCAAAAATCATATATCTCCAGGCTACCTAACATAATTGTAGAATGGTGGGGCATTTTTTCAATTCCATGGAAGTCTTAATTATCCAAGTATTTCCAATGTTTTGTCTGTGCCTGGAATATAAGGCACTTTACCAGGGATATAGCATCATTTCAGATAAACTGGCATTTCAGAGACTTTAGGCTTGAAGTAAATTACAGATATAACTTTGGTTTTAACTTTTTTTCAAAAGCAAAATGAAATTGAAATGTATTCTAATATTTTAAATTATTTTACTACATTTAATTAAAAACATTACAGTAATTTCTAGTCATCTTTTATTCCCTGTGCTGCTCGGATATGAAGAAAAAACAGTTGAAACAAGAAATACCTGTTATTTGAAGAGAGGGAGAACATCTTACTCCCTCGCTCTGCTACACAAGACTAAAACTCCACAGAGATAATGCAATGATCTCCTCAACTGCTGTGACGACACAGGCAAAAGAGAAATTTCACCGTCTGATTTTAAATATTAATTCTCCTTTTATATTTTTCACTGGATCTAGCTGTTCCACCTATAGATATAAACTAAAATATGAAGATTTATTAAACAAAAATGATAGGCTCTTTTATCCTCTTTTAAAAGCTTCATACCTCTAACTCTTCAGGCAGATATCCTCAGGACTTGGTTACTTTCTTTATCAGAAGGTGAGATCATTAAGTACTACAGCTTTTAAACACTATAACTTTGCTTGTTAATGACTGCATTAGGTGTTACATTCTTCAAATACTGGCATGGCTATAAAGCTAAACTGGAAGACGACATCACTCTGCAAAACTGAACAGCAGGTTGCAAAGACCTATCACAAAAAATCATAACTAATATTTACTTTTCTGTGTGTGGCATGTTACATTTGCAATGGATTATAAATTAGGCACTTTCATGCCTCTTTCTGGCACTAAATGTAGCACCTTAGATGAAATTTTCACACACTGCTGCAAAAGTTTTGCAGCTAGTGAATACTTTCCTGATATGTGCTGCAAAAATGTGTCATTTTTGCTGTTGAGGATCCTAGACAGAAACAGCTTTATTCTCTGGAAAACATTTTTGCTTTGTAGAGCTGGGAAAAATTATATGGCTGACTTTCTGAAATATGTCTGTGGATCAGCCAACTGCCACATCTTTCCACTGCTTTAGTAATTCACCTCTGAAGAGCTGGTTTTGTGTCATTAGGAGACTATGTATTCTGCCCTGAAATAAGTCAAGTCTGCCTAAACATCCTACTTGTTTGTGTTCACTTCTAAAACACTTCAAAAAAAACCCCACACATGCAATTTTATTCTAATTGTAAACAATAGCTTCAATTACAGGATTAACTTATATATATTTAACTGCTTGATTAGGACTGTATGACATTAATACACAAGTTCGACTTGTTTTCCAAGATTTGCTGAATTCCTTTTTAAAAAAACCAGAGCAACAAGTAAAATACAGTCTATGTAAGTAATGACAGATCTAAAATAACTAGCAAAAAGCTGTTTTGCTAAGTTACTACTGGATTTAAAAAGTTGTTGGGGTTGGGTTTCTTTCTTTTTTGCTTATAGAAAGTGCCCACAGCCAAGAGGAGCTGTCCCTGGGCTACTGCTTTGTTTGTGCTTAATGCTGCAGTTGTTGGTTTGTTTGCTTTATTATACATATGTTATTCCTAGTATCATATATTTGCCTGAGAGCCCCTTAATTTCAAAATTATAATAATTCATAGAGAGGGGATTTACATTTTCCATTCCAAGGGAGGGTCCTGTCTTCCCTAGCAGACACCTGTCCTTCAAACTGAGACAAAAGTAAACAGTTCCATTTTGTCACTTTTTGACTTGTGTTCCTTCCAAATGTTACTTTTACTGAGAAATTTTCAAAGGTTTTCAGCAGCTGATGAAATTCTGGGATTAACACTTCGGTTCAGATAAATCCTTAAGATTCCCAAGGATACCATGGAATATACCTACTCATGTTCTGACATTTTTAAAAATTAATAGTAGCATTTAAGTTCTAACATTGATAATCTGAAAATAAAACTAAACCAAATATTTTTCTTTTAGACGCAGTCACTAGCAACAAATTACATCCTCAAGTCCTCACAATTAATAACTGACAAGGCCAAATAGGTTTAATTAGGTTAAAATAGGTTAAATAGGTTAAATAGGTTTAATAGGCTAGAAAAAGGTATTACCTATTTATGAATTTAATTCAAATCTCCAGTGACAGAAACTAACAAAAACCATTTCAGATTTGAACCAGCATAAGCAAGAATTGGCAATAAGCTCTCCTCTCAAAACAGTTTTTGTAGCTAAAGGGAATTATCCAAATTACTGCTCCATCCATAAAAAGATAAAGATAAAAAAATGTTTACAAAAACACATTCAAGCACGGAGCTCTAAGCAACCTGGTCTAGTGGAATACGTCCTTGTCCACAGGAGGGGGCTTGAAACTAGATGATCTTTAAAGTCCCTTCCAGGGATTCTATGTATATACAATAATATTTTCAGAAAGATAACAATGCTCTAAGTTTTTTTTTCCCTATTCTTTTTGGTTTTTGGTGTGTTCTTTGCTGTATTTTTTCTCCTGAGGAGAACTTTTAAGCTGAGATCACACCGTTATTGTACTATAATCCTACAAATAGCTACCGTACACACAACACATAACAAAATACTTCTATTTCATAAACAGTTCAGGTTTTTAGACCTTTATAACAGGCTTCACTGTTTTTGAAGAACAGTGCTTGATAAGCCTTGCAAATGGTAAATTTTTCTGCCAAATTTTTGTATAGTGGTTCAGTTGAATTTTTGGAAGAAAATCTGGGAACACGGACATACTGAAACTTTCATTCCATTTGCAAGCAAAATAAATGGCTGTACTTCACAAGCCTCCAAGAATCTGCTACCTCAGTCAATCACAGTACACGACTGAGTGCATTAAAAAAAAATAAAATGGAAGGACAATGTTCCAGTACTAGAATTCTCACTTAAGAAGCGTACCATCAGAACTCCCATGAGCCTCACTCCTCTACTCATTCCTGTGCCTTGGCCCCGCATTACAGACTTTTTTTAAGAGCACAGGCAGTAACAGCCTTGCTTGGTCTCATATATTCTAACACCTAGAAATGAGAAGACGAGCCAGAGGTTGTGGCCAGACAGTTTAGCATCTACTTGCTTACACCAAGAAACTGCAGGAATTGCACTGCATTTCATACTAGAGAAGAACCTATGATGAACCTAGGGCATAGGGAAACAAACAGCAGCTCTTTTTAAGGGAATGTCCTGGTTTTGGCTGGGATAGAGTTAGTTTTCTTAGCAGCAGGTACAGTTTTGGATTTAGTATGACAGTGAAGACACACTGATCTTTTAGTTGCTGTTAAGTATGTTTGGTCTAAGTCAGATTTCCCATGCTCTGTCAGCCAGTAGGTGCACAATAAACTGGGAGACAGCACAGCCAGGACAGGTGATCTGAGCTATCAAGGGGATATTTCCATACCACAGAATGTCATGGCCAGTATACAAACCAGGAAAAAGTCAGCTGAGGGGCACCAATCACTGCAGGGGAATGGCATCATTCAGCAGGTGCTGAGCAGTTATACCGGGCATGTCTTGTTTCGCTTGGGTTTTGTTCCTTTCTTGCTCTCCTTTTCAGTCCTATTATTCTTATTATGTTTTATTTTGGTTCAATTATTAAACTGTTCTTACCTCAGCCCATAAGGTTTAATATTCTTTTTCTGACTCTTCTCCCCACCATGGATGTAGTGATCAAGTGGCTCTGTGGTACTTAGTGCTAGGCTGGGATTAAACTAGGACAAGGACAAACGTAATTGTATCTGTGTTTCAATTCAGGAGAGAAAGTATTATGTGGAAAAATAATCCTCTACACAGTTCATACTAATTAGAATTGTCAGATATGATAAGTTAAAAAAAAAAACAAAACACCATATTTTAGTTTAAAAAAGCATTTTTTAGTTTAAAAAAAAGAAAAGCATTTTGCCTCCATATTTTTAAGCCACACTTTTTTATCTTTAAAGGTGCAGAGTGCCCTCTGCTGACTAATACATAACAGCAGAGGCAGTTATTTCAAACTGGTATTTCTAGAAATATCAGAGAACTGGGAGGGTCCCTTTCAAAATAATGAATGATTCCAGCAGGAATTTTCCTCTGTAAAAATTGCAACTAACTTAAATGGTTGCATTTGTGTGCTGTCCAACCAAGAAGATTGTCTTTCTAAACAATTACCTCACTACTTGGAAGTAAACTCTGAAAGTGAGCTTCAGACTTACCCTAGGCATGCAAAGACACATAACACACTATCACCTACTTATTTTGAATGTGTTCATTAATCCCTTGATGTTTAGAGCAATGAGTTGGCAAGACTGAAGTAAGGGGGCAATACGTAATCTCAGATGAAAAGCTGTTGTTTAGAACAGGGTCACATAAGAATGAATTTAGCCCCAAGATGTTAAAGATAGCAACTCAATGTTATTTTCTCTAGAGAAACCACAGACATATTATACCATGGTGATGAGTAACTATTTGAAAAATGCCTTGAGGGAAAACAAAGTTTTATGCCATGTGTGACCTAAAAAAGTGATAGCTTCCTTATAAGTTAGGTACTATCTTCTCCATTCCTAGAAAGAGACTGTATTTGTGCTGGATTGTATCTGATGCCAAGACGAGCTTATTTAAAGGAGGATGGCAAAACACTGCTGACTCCTCTTTCAAGGCTTCAAGGCTTCCAGGCTTCCTCTTTCAAGGTTTCAAGCAAAATACCTGTGTCCTGAAACATGCTGCCAACTTATATCATTAGGAAGGAGGAAGAAAAAGCAATAAAGCACATCTTTCCAATACTGAAAACACAGAAACAAGTTTTCTATTATTAATATCTTGAAAAGCTACACACTTTGCTGCCTGGTGTGTGTAAAATTGATTCATATGTATTTTTCAATTATTAGCTTACCTTATTAACTATTCAGTATTTATAGGTCACAGTAACCTTTTAAACAACCATTTGGGAAGGCTTATTTATCCATCAAAGCACAATTGGATGAGACTCCCAGGAGAAATAAGGCATGTTCTTTCTAAATGTACCATCAGTCATCACATGAGAGGAAATAGGTTTTTGAAGGGTTATGTTTGCTTCCTTATTAATAACCTACATGGTTTATTTGAAAACCTGTGCTTTCAATAAGAGTGACATCTCTGTGAAGGTAAATAAAAGTGTGGGCTTTTTGAATTAATTTTGATTAAATTGTACTTGGAAGAACCTTGTGGGAGGTGAGTAACACAGAAAAGTCACAAATACAGTCTGTTGAGAAGAACTGCGAGGTTTCTGAATTCAGTCACCTAAGCCTGCTCTTCAATATACTCTGGAGATTCTCCAAGCAACGAGATGAAGATCTACAGGTGAACATAAATCATGAAGTAAACAGTCACATCCAGACAATCACATCACGTCGCCTGGAGTTAACAGGTTCTACTTAGCCACAAATATTTAAATTTATCCTCTTAATTCTGTCCTTTTTTGTTGTTTGCTAGTTTCAGAAATGTCCAAGGCAATTTCCCAGAAAATCTTCAAAACAAATTTATCAAGTTAATTTAGCAAAGCTGTTGATGTAGAAAAGACAGGCTGTTTGAATTATATCCTGCTATCCAGAAAGAACATTTATTAATAGGCCTTATCTACCCTGTTCACAAGTATTATCAGAGATGGGCAGCTACTTTGGAAATCAGCATGCAACTACAGCACACACACAAAGAAAACATTTTTCGTAAGAATTACAGCACTAATGCAAATGCTGGTAGTAAGACTGAACTAGATGGTTAACAAAAATAACCTGCAGTTAGTCTTTAGAACAAAATAATTAATTCACCATAAGAAAAAAAAATAAAGGATTTTGTTAAAAAGGCTAGCAAAGCACTCTTGCCCTTACTTAGCACCTGATGCTATCATTAAAATTTATTTTCTTCAGTGGGCTTTAAACTCTCTCTCAATATGAAAATAACCCTAATTATTTTTTAGACAGGGTAAATAAGTATTTTGTTTCAGACTTCTGGCATAAAATGAATCACAAATTGGATTAAACATTAATAACATTTAGTTTCCCTGGATAATTATAGTACATTAATTTCATACAATCCCCCACCTACAGAACACATCTCCAACTAGGAACACTTTTGCATTTCTGCAGGTAGGTCAGGACATTATTAATCAAATAAAAGAGAGCATTGCTGGAGGGGAGGAATCAGAAGAAGCTTTATGCTGGTTTTGCAGCCACCCAAGACCTTCTTCAGAAGCTCTGATTGCTGTATCTGCAAAGCACAACAGCCCCACAATCACTCAAATTTGCAATGATGGTCGCTGACCCGACAGCATGCCACAGCCAGCACCCAGCAGTTTGTGCATCTAGGTATGTGACCTCTGATGGCATTCAACAATCTCTGCAACATTACACAGAAAGCAGCAGGAGACTTGTGCAGGACAAAACACTTTTCCGTAATTGCCATCACAAATCCTAACATGGAAATGCTATCAGAGGAGGGTAAAAGTTTAAAAGGCTAGAAAGCTGGAGAATACATGATGAGGACATGGCTCTGCCACTTTCTTTGTATGTTGGTGAGCTTTCCTTCACATTATTATTTTCATGTCATTAATAATTTATATTAAAATGACTGATATAAATGACAGATTTAGTTTAAAAGATCAACACTGAACAGACAGAGAGAGAACACTTAATGATGCATGTTAACTTCGCAACTATCCAACATAGCATGGAATGCCCCTTGTGATAAAGTCTGAATTTTATGATCTGAATGCAGTTATATATTGGTTCAGGCATCAAGATAACAAGGTCAAAGGCCTTCTATAGCACTTCTAAGCACTATTCTATAAAAGTATTCTCAATCTGTCGTACCATCAAGACTGGGTTTTAACCAAAATTGACTGGTTGTAGATAATAGCGGATTTACAGTAGCGGAATAATTCACTACACTGGAATGACACTGGTGACATTATTTTTAACTGTATAAAAATCAGTTGATGGAGAGCTAGAAAATTCACAGTACAGTTCTTAGAAAATGATAAACTTTCTCGTATTTGTGTCATGGGGCAAAGGAACCACAGAACTTTTATTTTCCAGAAGATTTCAGTGCTGTTTCCCCTGCATCTTCTTTGTATCAGTGACTTCCTTTTATAGCGTATTTGTTGCTGTAGCTGTTAAACTGCTACATATTGAATTGTTTTAAATTTTAGAATACGGCTTCAAAAACTACAGCAAAAACACCTTAGAAAAAAGATATCAAAATCTGGTGTAAGATTTTTTTCCATGAAGTAATCAGTCCTCTTTCACGAAAAATAGTCTTTTTATTATTTTTCAAAATTCAGCTTTTCACAGTACAGAAAAGACTTCCTTATTTAGGAGACCTATGACAGAGAAAGTTACCAGTATGTCCAGAGGTCTCAGTAATACACTATCAAGAGAAATATTTATCCAAATGTAAATTTGGATCAAGAATCACATTTATCTTTCCTAAAACTAATCACAGAACAGTAAAATCATTCCATTCTATAAAGGTAAAAAGTTAGCATTTTGAGGTCAATAATTCTTTTGCGTTTGGTAGGCCATATTCTCTTCAATTTAAGAAGCAAAAAGCTGGAAGTGTTTCCTCCTGAGGGTCAGCACATGACTCAAGTTTAATGGAGGGAAAAAAATCACATAAAGAACAAAACAGTTTGGACAAGAATAAGAGGCTCTGCCTTGTGCACACTTCTGTCGCTGCTGATCTGCAGAAGCCACCTCAGCCTCCTGCACCACAATATTAAAAGTATTGCATAGTGCTGAGAAGTCCCAAATACTGCCTCGGCTCTGACACTTGGAAAACACATTAGGTGAAGAAAAAATATAACTAGAGTTGTTAAAATGCAGGCTGTTGAGAAGGAAACACAAGTCTAATTAGAATTCAACTCTGACCCAATGAAGACCAAGGATTTGACAAGCAGTGTCATCAAATTGTTTTTATATACATTTGTAGTTGGTGTCTCCATGCTTTTGGAGTTGTATCACTGCCTGTTTTTTTCCCACGTAATTTATTGTCTAACAGGACTCCACAATTCTATCATGCCTCCTTGCAACTCCATTGGTGCAACTGTAAGTAAAGCCTTTAATAAGGTAAAATAAATAAATAAAGTGCTCAGTCATTATCAGCCTTCAAATATACACAACCTTCTTCACCTTTACAACTTACAGGATCAATGGCAACATATTTGTTCTGGCACTAATACTTCCATGTCAAGAAAAAAATGAGAACCTAGAGGATAAAGAAAGGGAATAAACATCAAAATATAGTTTTCCACCTTTTCAGCAGTTTTGCAGCCTCATCTTCTGTCCACTGAAATCTAAAGGCAAATAACTCTTGTAATTCTTACTGAATGAGCACTGCAGAAATCATTATCCCTACAAGAATCTCATAAATTAGGCAAACTCCATCAGGGTTTTACAGAGATCTGTTGTGTTGCTCTCCTTAACCTGTCTTGGATCAGACCATACTGAAAGTCCATAAACCATACATATTTGATGAATGACAATAAGTGGTTTGCACTGCTGTGTTGCCTAATGACAGGTTTTGTATGTTTAAAATGCCTTGCAATCCTTCTGTGAGCATTACTGTGAATTCAGGGGCCTTAACTTAGAGCAAGTCTGCAGCTCCTGAGTGCATTTTCATGTTGCATGTGCCATAAAAAAGCCCACAAGACCAAAATCAACCAACTGATTAAACAAAAAAGCAAACTGAAAATAATGGCAACAAGTAAGAAGAGATGGGAAAGGAAATGACATCTTTAAAGATGGTATCCTGTGGGCAGTGTCAACTCCTACTCTCTTAAAATTATAGGATTGTACTAATAAAAGGAAGACTGTGTACGCTGAAGTCAGGGAAATATTAAAAATACTCCTAGAATATTTAAACTAACGCTGCTATATTGGTCTCCCCCTTTTCATACAGAGATTCAGTGGGTGAGGTAAAGAATTTCTTACTTAATAAGAACACTAGAGAAACATAATTCTACCATATGGCTATAGATTTTTTACTATTATGTTCAAGGTAAAGGCACCACCACATTGCCTTGTTTCATGCTCAATCATCTAAAGCATCTTGTTACAGTTGAAGACAGCTCAGTATTAAATGTTGAAGTGATGTACCAGCAGTACCCACCACACCTACAGAAAAACAACTGTTAAACCTTAGAGACATACCCCCCCAAAAAAACAGATGATGTAAGTAGTCCTTTTCACCAAGAGCCCTTGTCCATATTAATGCTAGTCTTTCCTCCCAATATGAAGAAATAAAGATGTTGAAACAAGCAACAAGCAGAACTCAGAGAAACCAATTTACTCATCCAAGTGTCACAGTGAGAGCCTGTCATGAGCTTGTGATCCATAGACAAATGGCATCAGACAAAGCAGGACACAGCTGCTCCCCCTAAACTCTGTAAAAATGGAGATGCCTAACAGCTTCTAGAGAATAGAAGAAGCTGGGCATGCCCACTTTCATAATTTAATTGTGAATTGCATTTGCAGAATATCAGGGACTGAATTTGACTGTGGACTATATTTGGTAATCCCTAAAGTATGTTGTCTGAGTCAGGCTGCAGAAGAAAAGCTGAAACTGAAGAATCTGGTGAGGTTAATAACCGCAGATAAACCAGGAAGCAGGCTGATAGAAGAAAAGATAATTTATGAATGAAAAGAAATCTCCCTTTTTCCCTTCCTGCTTCCATTGCCTTTAGATCTCATTTCAAAGAAGGCTGACACCAATCCTAAACCCCCAAAAATGACACCATTACAGTTCCCATCTCAACACCTAAACTTTGACAACAATACTGTACATCCTAAATCTTTACTTTTTGTCCTAACCAAATACGTGTAATTAATCCCAAAAAAGAACTTTAAAAGTTGCATGCCACAGAGATGATAAACAGTCCATTCAGCTGATCCTCAAGACAAAAGCATCATCTCTTTGGTTACAGTCATATGCAAATACCACACACATTAATACGACTGCATGAGAAACCAGTAAGTCACTGCGACCTAAAAGAAACTGCAGAAATCTTTTAAACAAAAGTACTACAGGAATGTATTTTACAAAAAGGCAATTCACATCTATACCAATTCTAACAAGTCACTGTGTTAGGTATACTGCAGGTAACAAAATTCTCTGCTCAAGCTACAATATTGTGGTTTGTTCTCCAAATCTAGAACAGACTGATCCTTCTGTGTTTGCATGGATTTTAATTTTTGATTTTCAGGAATCACACACTATTGAAACCACTTACTCTGGACAACACTTCTCTGAATGACCCTATGAATGCTAGGGGTTTTTTGGTATGATCTGTATCATCAGCAAAGCCAGTACTGCAACAGTAACCCTGGAAGAGAAAACAAGGCTTTGGAAGTGCTGAACAGAGACGAACAATACATACATAAGGAGAAGCAGAAGAGCAAAGCTTAATACTGTGAATAAAAGCCAGATACAGCATATGTGCTTCACTACTTTTAAATGATGTGGCTGGAAATAGTTCAAAATTCTTAGCGCAAATGAAAACACGAGCTACATTAAAAACAGTGAATAGAGGAAATAGTGTTTAAAAAGACCTGAGACTGCCATTTCTCAACTCTGCACTAGTTTCTCCAAAAGGCAAAGAGAAAGTAGTTCCAGTGCCTTGAATCAGGACCTAACAGTGAACGGTCTATTGACTTACTGAAAAATGCATATTTATAGACTAAAGAGGGTGAGTAGGAAAAAAACTGAGAAAAAAGAGCCAAGCAAAACCCTTTGACATAAAAATTGTTTTCCTTGGCATCATGTGAAATGGGTGAAAGGGCCTTCTCCATCTTCTAACTAAAATCTATGATTTCACTCTTCTGATCAATACAGAAAAAAAAACCATTGTCTTGAATTAAAACCTGAAATCACACATTCAGAACAGATTGCCTTGCCTGTATCACCCTGAAGATTAATGTCTCAGCTATCACTAACATTACTTAACTGTTAAAAAGAAGACTTTGACATAAAAAACTATGAAGCATATGTAACTGTGTTAATGCAATGGTAAGCCGCTGAGTGAAGACAGACTTCTGGCAACTTTGGAGCCAGATAGTAACCTTCTGAAATCAGAAGCAGACCAACCAGCAAAAGTGAAAGCTGTAGAGGAAAAAACTCACCTAACAAACCACAAACACACTCATGAACTTTTCACTGCATCCTTACCAGTACTGTTCACTTTTTTCACCCAAACCATGCTCCTCTCATTCATTTCCTCAGACAACCTTCCACCAGCAATTACTTCATTTTTATCCCACACTAAGCTCTTAAAACTTAAGAGATATACACAAATAATTGTATACTAATAGCTCTGATTAACAGCTCCGTCTGCAATTTTCAACTCTTGTTTGATGAAGGCCTTGTGGGTAAATGGATAAACTAACCCCCTTTGTGGAAAACACCCACAACAAATAACACATCACTTGTTACTGCACTGCAAAACTAACACTCTTCAATGTTCTGTTGGAGCACAGCTCTGGAGGTAGACATTTATGACTTAACTTCCTTTAAAGACGTTAAACTGTTCTGGGTCCTTTCAGAAAGCTTCTATGGAATCTAGCTTTTATGCTCCTGAACATCAGTTTATCATATTAAAAAGAGAAGATCAACCAAACAAACGAAGAGATACTGTGTAGTGAATCCTACAGGCAAATAACTCCTATAATTCTGTATTGAATTCTGTATTGTACATAAAACTGAACATAAAAGCTAGATATTTCAGTTCACTCTTTGGCTGTATGAAAGTTCTTAATGAATCACAAGCTTTACTGGATTCCAAAACTGCATACACTTATAATCCAGTTCTTGAGGAACTGAGTTTAAAATAATTGCTTTGGGTTTTCTCTTTGATATATTATACAGATATATATTTACATCACAACTGTAGCTCCA